TCTTTTCTCCCCTCCTTTTTTTTTTGAACTCCCTCTCGCTTCTTTATATAGTCTTCTCTTCTCCCTCCGTCGATCGCTCCTTCCCTCCTTTCGTCCAATCCTGTCACCCCCCTTCTTTCTTCCACCACCTTCTTCGTACTTTCTTCGTTTCCCCGCCAACATTTCGCCAAATTTTCGTTTTCCCAGCCACTCCTTAGTCAATCTCCCGCTCATCTTTCAAGTTCGCCTTCCCACTTTTCACGGTTATACCTTCTCGCTCTGTGATCCCTCCTTCCACCTTCCTTGCCCAATCACAGTGATCTCTCCGCTGCCTGCGGATTCAAGGTTTCCCTGACCCTCGCACGTTCGCACTTTCTCTTACCCGCAACGCGTTCCCGCCGACGAACCCCGTCCATTCGCCTCCCCTTCATCCCTGCTTGCTTCATCGCGCGCTCCCGCTCTTGGTGCCGTGGAGGCCTGACTCCTCGTCCGTTCGTCTTCCCCCTTACTCCCACTAGTTAGGCAGCGTCCTCTCACCCCAGGTTTCGGCGAATCCCGTATCTTGTCTATTTGTCTCCCTCCCTAACTTCTCCCAGCTGCTCGGTGCCCGCTCTTGGTCCGATACCGGACCCCGGTACATAGTACGCCCTTATTAAACTTCACGACGGTTTCAAGAACCGTTCTTGGCGACCTCACTTGACAACGGTTGAGCTTCGCGCTTCTATGTTTTTTTTCGTTATCGGCTGCCTTGCTCGACTTTTCTCCTTCGCGCTTCCCACCGCACCACAGGCCTTGGCACGCCATGTAAAAGGGTCTGGCTCCTCCACCATCTTTGGTCCGATTTACTGGGTGCGACACTCTCGATTCCCGGATATCCCGCATCCCAGGTCTTTAGTCACTCTGGTTCGTCAGCCAGCTCATTCGCCTTGGTGTGGCCGTCCTGTCGAGGCCCTGACTTTGTGGATGACCGACCTCCCCTCAGGCCGATGACTGACCCATAGCATCGTACCGCAGTCTCGCCGCGTCACTGGGGCGCGGAGGTTGACCGGGAAATAGCACCGTATCGCAGTCTTGCCGCGTCACTTTAACGAATGTGTCGCTGAAGTTGACTGGGGGAACCTCCCCCCCCCTGTACTTCTTTTTTTCATACCACAGCCCCACGGCTAGGCGAAATCAAGTCCCGTAGTGTATATCCGTAGCCATCCGAGGCCTGCCCATAGCCGATGCCCGGGTTCCCCCTTGCCCTCGATTCTCCTTATGGCCCGCCCCAAAGCTCGGCACCAGTCCTCGTCCCTTCGACCCTGGAGCCAAAAACCCTGACCTTCGCAATCCGCGCGAGCCTGATTGCGATCATCGTTCGGACCGTCACTCGAGGTCATTCGGAGGTTAGTACAAAGGCTCGGAAACTCAGGGTCACCCACACACCCCTCATAATCACATGCATGCATACATCAAACCCACGCAAAAACAACAAAGAAATGTTTAAAATTTCCCGATTTTCAAAAAGAAATGTCATCGGCTGGTAGGCAGCCGCCTGACAACCAGCCCACTCCCCAATTCTCGCCGTCCCCGACGAGTTTCCCCGTAGCATTTTTCCCATACCTAATGGTCGTCTCTTTTCTTGGCCAACGGTTCGCATTGTTCCAGTCCTTTTGATCATGAGTTGACGTTTATTTTTGGTTTCTAGACCTCATCTCCTCATCACTGCAGCGCCCCCCTCTAGTCTCCTACCTGCGGAATTATGACATATGTTTCCTTTAACTAGGGTACAACACGTCCTTCTGGGACCGCGACACATGCTCCGTCTAACTATGGCACAGTATGTTCTCCATACTATAGCACTTCACCCCTTTTTGGTATTACGATACATGTTTTCTCTAACTATGGTACATCACCCCCCCGTTTTCCCCTAAGCGATTCTATATCCGTCATCGTCTCCTCATCTTTTTCTTGCGCCTCTCTCTCTTTCTCTTTCTCTCTTCTCTCTCACGCTTGATTCTTATTGAGGCATTCCTTCTCTCTTTTATCCTGCGTTTTCCTAATTGGTCGGTTTCACCGTCATCCTCCCTTGGTCGTTTCTTTCTTCTCGGGGTCCTTGGCAGGGGGGGGTTCCGAACCTTATACCCCCTCTTAGGCGGCCGCGAAGAGGCTCCCTGCTTTGAAGTTTCTCCTTCCTCGTGGTTGACGGTCACTTCCTCGTCGACTGCTTTTTGCCCTTCCTTCTTGGTTCCTCTCTAAGGCTTTCTCTTGATCGAAAAAGTTTGAGGCGGGCCCCCGCGATGGGGTCCCGTAACCTAGTCCCGTCCAATTCGGCAAGAAGGTACGCCCCTCCATCCAATCTCTTTAGGATCCGATATGGCCCCATCCACCTGTTGGCTAGCTTCCTGCTCCAAGTTCTCTCTAGCAACGAGTCGTACATCAGGACGAGGTCACTAGTCTCTATTGGCTTTCGTCGGACCCGCAGGTTTTCGTCCCACCTTTCTTTCCCCTTCACTCTCCCCTTCTCGATGTTTTCCCTTGCCTCGGCAAGTCCCACATCTAGGTTTTCGGATATTTGTTGTATCCTTGCCTCCAATAGCTCAGTCCTGGTCATGTCGGTCTTCCACGAGACACTTGTCCAAGTATCGACGTGAAATTCGATTGGCAAAGGGCAGTGTCTACAAAACCAAAGCGTATAAGGAGGATACCCTTCTCTTGATTTAACCGTGATGTTGTCGGCCCAGACCGCATAGCACAAGTACTTCGGCCATTGTTCTGTGCGCCCCTTGCACCACTTGGTTAGGGCATCTACAAGCATTTGGTGGCCTCTCTCAACCGGGGTATTGCTTTGGGGGTGATAGGCAGTCGTGTAGGCAGCCTTAACAATATCGTCTTGACCTTTTGGCTTAGGACTTCGGACCCTCTATCCATAACGATCTTTCCGACGCACCCGCTGTAGTACAGTGTGTGTGTGTGCTGCGTATGAACACTGAGTGTTGCGTGTGGGACATCCAGGGTGATCCAGCGTGCGAACAGTGAGTTGTGTGGGCGCAGAGCCGCCATAGCCAGTTGAAGAGAACTCTTATCCGGTTACGATATCTTTGAGTACTATGTGGGCGCATGTCGCCAGTTTGCTGTATCACTATTTGCATGCAAGACAAGTGCGAATGATCCGAGTCTGACAGCACTGGTATCGGAGCAGGTACCCGCTGTTCCACGCGCGCGATGTGTGCAGGGCCGATGGGCCATAGCTGACGTGAAGTGACCGCTGAAGGAGACAGTCCGCCATAGCGGACGTCGAGGTGGAAGAAGACGCCGCGCACCTGCAACAAGAAGATCACGATGAGAGAGAGAGAGAGA